GAGATGGTACCTGTCCTCAGGGCCCATGGCCTAGGTGGCAGGGGAATGGTACTCGCCCCCAGAGTTCATGGCCTAGTGGATGGAGATGCTACCTGCCCCCAGGGCTCACAGCCTAGATGGGAGAGGATGTTGGTATCCACCTCCAGGGCTCATGGCTTAGGTTGATGGAAATGTTGTCAGTCCCCAGGGTTCACAGCCTGCATGGAAGGGGATGGTACTCACCCCTAGGGCTGGTGGCTTAAAAGGATGGAGATGGAGATGGTACCTGCCCCCAGGAATCATGGCCTAGATTGATGGAGATGGTACATGTCCCCAGGGCTCACAGCCTAGATAGAAGGGGATGGTACCCACTGCCAGGGCTCATGGCCTAGATGGAAGCAAATGTATCCATCTCCAGGGCTCATGGCCTAGATTGATGGAGGTAGTATTCACCCCCCAGGGATTATAACCTAGATTGATGGAGGTGGTACCCATCCCCAGGGCTAATGACTTTTTTTTTTTTTGAGTTGGAGTCTTACTCAGTCGCCCAGACTGGAGTGCAGTGGCCGCTCCCGGCCACCCCAGCCTCGACCTGCTGGACTCCGGCGATCCTTCCGCCTCAGCCTTCCAAGTAGCTGGAACTACAGGTGCGCGCTACTACGCCCGGCTGATTTTTTGATTTATTGTAGAGATGAAGTCTCGCCAAGTTGCCCAGGCGGGTCTCAAACCCTCAGGCTCAGGCAGTTCCCTCACCTCAGCCTCCCAAAGCATGGGATTACCGGCTGAGCCACCGAGCCGGCTGCTAATGACTTAAATGGAAACCGATTATACCCGCCCTCAGGGCTCGTGGCCTAGATGGATGAAGATGCTCACAGTCTAGATGGTACCTGCCCCCAGGGCTCATGGCCTAGATGAAAGGGGATGTACTTGCCCTCAGGGCTCATGGCCTAGAAGGATGCAGATGGTGTTTGCTCCCAGGGCTTGCAGCCTAGATGGGAGGGGATAGTACCTGTCCCCAGGGCTCATGGCCTTCTGGGGGAGGCTGCCAGATCTCTTGGTGGGAGGAGGCCATGCCAGGGGACTGTGCGGGCAGGAGCGCAACTGGGGCTTTCCAAAGGCCTCCTGCAGAGACTGAACTGAGGGGTGACCAGGAGCCGCTTCTCTAAGAGGAGGGGTAGGACAGGGTGGGGTAGAACCAGCATTGGAGGTAGAGGGACCAGCACGGGCAGAGGCAGAGGAACGTTGAGGGCCTAATCTGGAGGAGGTGACAGAGAGAAGAGGAACTCACTGCACTTTGTGGCATTCCTGGTCAGGACTCGGGTTGGGTGTTGCGGTGGTGCTAGAGGGAGAGATCTGGGCTGGGCATTTTTCCTGTCCTCAATAGTGTCTGCATCCGGTTGTGCTGGTCCCCACATCCCAACACAAGCACTCCCTTTTGGCATAGTCACAATTTTTGTAGATTTAGTTGAATGCTCAACATAGTCGGCTGGTCTTGGAGATGAAGAGACTTCTGAGGACAGTAACCAGCCTTATGCTCTTGGAGGACACTCTCTTCTTCCACTGCCCAGCATCGGCATCCTGGCTGACCTCAACCTCTATCCCGCCCAGCCCTGTCCTGCCCAGCCTTCATTCTGCACAACCTCCATCCCTGACCTGCCCCAGTCTGTGTCCTGCCCCAGCCCCCGTCCTGCCCCAGCCTCCGTCCTTCCCCAGCCTCCGTCCTGTCCCAGCCTCCATCCTTCCCCAGCCTCCGTCCTGTCCCAGCCTCCGTCCTTCCCCAGCCTCCGTCCTTCCCCAGCCTCCGTCCTGCCCCAGCCTCTGTCCTGCCCAGTCCCTGTCCTGCCCAGCCTCCATTCTGCCCAGCTTCCGTTCTGCCCCAGCCTCTGTTCTGCTCCTTCCCAGTCCTGCCCCACCCCCATCCTGCCCTCTGTCCCTCCTGCCCCACCTCCATCCTGGCCCAGCCTCCGTCCTGCCCAGCTCTGTGGAGCAGCAGCAACATGATTGGAGAGCTGAAGGCTAGTTTGTTTAAGGGGAAGTCTGTCTCCACTGCCAAGGTTTTTGGTTAGTATGGGATGTGGTTTACTTCTGGCCAGTGAGGAAAGAGGTGAGTTTGAAGGAGGTTTGGGGGATGGGCGCCGTGGACAACCAAACTCATTCTGTTGTGAAATAAGACCAAAGCTTATAGCTCTCTGTGCTACAGAAGGACCCAGGTTTAGGGTAAAAGCGATACTGTGGGTGACAGAATGGAGTGAGATCAGTTGACTCTGAACGTGTCCCATTGCTGGACTTCTGTGGTGAGAGTTCATAATGTTCCTTCCTGCCCATCTGTAACTTCAAGTCATGTGTGTTGTAAGCAATCCATGGTGCTTATGACCTGCAGACATCAGCGGAACTTTTGTGACCATTACCCCTTAGAGTCTCGTTTTCCTCTTCTGTGAAATGAACATAATAAGGTCTCACAGAACATTTCACAAAGATTATTTCAGATCCAGACAAAGCCTGAGGGAGGAGACATGAGCTGGCACATGTTGAGAGCCCCTTATGCACCAGATGGGGTGGTCCTGAGTCTTAGAAAGCCTAGAGAAGTGATGTACACAGGTAATGTTCACGTGGAAAGGGCAGGAATAAGATGGCATGCATGTGGACCAGCATGCAGTCAGGGTTTTTTTTAGATCTTTCTCACAGTATTTGTTGGACTGTCTAATGTGATGTGGGCACAGGGTGGGATGAGGAAGGGGAGGGATGGGTATATTCCAAGAGCTGATATTAAACCAAAACATGAAGGACAAGTCAGAGTTAGGTGAAGAAAGGGAAAGAACATGTACAGAGTTCATGAGTTAGAACTTGATGAGCTCAAGAGAGATAAGAAGCTGTGTAGTCAGAGTGTAGTGACAAGGGGTGACATGGTGAAGGTGAAGTTGGAAAGTGGCTAAGCATGGTGGCTCACACCTGCAATCTCAGCACTTGAGGAGGCCAAAGTGGGAGGGTCACTTGAGCCCAGGAGTTCAAGACTAGCCTGGGCAATGTAGTGAGACTCTGTCTCTATGAATGAATGAATAAATAAATAAATAGAAGGAGAAGAAGGAGGAGGAGGAGAAGAAGAAAGGTACATGGATCAGATTACATGGAGTGTGGCTTGCCATGTTAAAGAATGGAGCCATTAGAGAATTTTAAACAAGAGTTTCATACATGTATTTATGTGAGATGGAGGTGGTCAAGTCAAGACAAGTGACTGGATGAGCTGGCAGTTGGGCTGTGAGGTGGGGAGCTCAGGTGGCGGTGGAGGTGGGAGAGCGGGTGCATTTTAGCTGAGTGTGGAGTAGAGCTACTGGATTCGGAGGTGGATGGGAGGGTTAGGATGACTCACAGAAAGAGTGATGTCAGGTGACTCATACGTTTATGTGTAGCTGGGCAAGGCTGGAACAGGCAACGGTTTTTGGTAGGAAACTCGCAATTTCTTTGGAACGTGTTAAGTTAGAGGCACCTTCTGCACTGAGGTTGTAACATTGAACAGCAGTTCTACTTCTGCCCAACGCTCACAAGAACACCTATCTTGGCAGGAATTAAAGTTCAGATTCACCAGCATGTTGGTGGGAACATGGGACTGCAGGCACTGCTGGGGAGAGAGTGAAGAAGGAGGCTGTTTCACCCCGCTTCTTAGGAAGGCCTTTCATCCCTTGGTGTGTAGAGTTCTTTAAGAGCCTGGCAGAGAAGGGGCAGAGCAGAACTGTGGCCTGTACAGGTTGCTGAGGGAGGGAGGACCCCAGAGTTGTAGAAGCTAGATGCAAGGAAGAGCCTGAGAGGGGGACAGGTGATGCTGTTGGGTAGAAGATCATGGATGAAGCGGAGGCCTCAGGGAGGCTGGAGTCATGGATCTGGCCTTAGACCCTCTGAGACCAATGGGAAGGGATTAGGATGGGAGCCCACCTGAACTGAAGGGTTGGGTCACAGGGAGGTGAAATAATTTACTCCAGAGAAGTCACAACACATATGCTGTTGTGTGTACCAACACACAGACGTGTATGCACACACACAGACGTGCACACACAGAGACATGTGCATGTGCACATACACGCATGCATGTGCACACAGACACGTGCATATGCACAGATGTGCACACTAACAGGCGCACACATAGACACATGTGTGCGCACAGACACATGTGCATGTGCACACACACAAATGCATGCTCACACAAATGCATGCATGTACATGCACAGACATGCATGCACATTCATCCACACAGATATGCACATGTGCACATACAGGCACACTCACACATGCACACACATAGGAATTATCTAAGTGGAGTGCGTGGTTCTCATTTACTGCACTATACATCGGTGGGACTCAGTAGGTATTTTCTGACAATTAAGTATCCCCAGGAATGAGCTTTGAACTTTATTTGTGGGAATCTATACAGAGGGTATGGGAGAGGAAGATGAATGCACTGAAAGCCATGGGTTGGGCTCCCTCACCACCTCTGCTCTGCTGTTTCCTTCTTTTCCATGTAGAAGTGATACCTGGTCAATCACCCATTCTTTTTTCTGCCCTTCCGATCGGATCATGAATTCTCTGAAGAGCATGTCATGTGTAAATCTGTGTTTCTGGGCTCTGACCTAGGGGTGGCACACAGCAAGTGCCCTGTAGGTATTGGTTGAGTGAATGTGTGAGGGTAGACTCAGGTGGAGATTTAAAGAATAGAGAGGACTCGGGAGGGCCAGAGGTGTGAGTACACTGCGGGGTTGGGATGATTGCACGCATGGCCATAACAGGTCTGGTGAGTGTTCCCATCTGGGTGTGGGCATGTGCAACTTGCTCAGAGTGGCACGGTGTGGCCTTTCTGCACATATGTCCTTCTGATCTTGGGGCTCCTGCCTGCCGTCGTGTTTCCTGATGTTCCCACACCTCCTCCCAGCTTTCCCATGCCTTACTCTTCCCACGAGTCCTGGTGAGCCTTCTGTCCTGGCCGCCCTCTCGCTCACCATGTTTCCTGAGCCCTGTCCCTTCCTCTCACCTAGCTCTCCACTGCGGGCTGAGTCCACGTGGCATCGATCGCTCTGCCCATGCTGAAGGCCTTAAGCTGCAGATCGAGAGTGAAAGCGTGGATGCTCAGTCCCTGAGAAGCAAGCATTTCCCGAAGGTGCCTGACCAGAGGGGAGCCTCACAGCAGCTACAGACAGAGGCAGAGACAACCAAGGTAGGTGATGTTCCCATTAGCTCAAGGGGCTGTGAGACTGTGGCTCGGATGACTGTGGCCAACCTCAGAGAGGTGATCCTACAGTCACTACTGTGCGGCTTCTGTTGAGCAACCTCTGCGTCTTGGTGATAGGCTGTCACCAGAGGATACGTTACTCTCATTCCCTTCAGAATGAAATAGAAACCCTTGTGGCCAGTTTCCTAGCACAGGGCTCCAACCTGCCTCCATGGACTTGGAACCAACAGACGCATCTGCCTGGGGCAGACTGGCCACTCATGCTGTTGGGGACATTGTGGAATGTACCAGCTTCAGACTCCTCATCGACAGTATGGGGGTCATGGAAACTGCCTCCTCATTAGGTTGGGTAGCTCAGTGATACCGTGCTTGTGGGAGCATTTTCTAAAAGCACCAATGTGTATGGATGCGCGGGGCTTTTGCTTAAGACACTGAATGGATCATAGCTGGTGTTTTATGAAATAGATACGTATATTCTAGGTCCTGCTTGAAAGTCACTTGATGTACTGGCTTGTGTACTGCAAAATCCCATGAGGTAGACAGTAGTCAATGACCCTAACTACTGGAGGACATAATTGTTCTATTTTGCTGTAGGATCCTTGGTTTATTTCAGTCTTTAGCATAAATGTAGGTTCCAGAAACTGACCAAATGCACGTTGCTTAAAGATGCACAGAAATGTGAGTTTGGGGGGAGGTGACTCTTCAGTGAGGACAGCCTTGTATGAAGGCTTTCTATGATGCAATGGCACTGCGTGGAATTCTGTCTGAAATCAGGGGACATTCCTGTTGAAGGCATACCATTAAAGATGTTCACATTAGTTTTCCCCTTCAACGTTGAGGAGATTCATCTTCATGTGGCATTTGGTTTCTTCCTGGTGTAGTCCCTGCAGGAGAATTTTATTTCAGATGTTTGTTGCGTGAGTGAACATATGATGCCTTGGGAAGCAGATGCAGTAGGTGCCCAGAAGAAGCTTCAGGGAGAAGGTCACAGTGCTCTTGTACAATGCCTACCTCCCTTCTCCTCCAAATGTTATCTTCCAAAATCAAATGAAATTTTTTTGCTTTATCTACAGTTTTGAGTAATTAGCATGATTGCTCTCTTCTTTAGTGTGAATAATTTAAAATGTTGACATTATGTGGCTTGAGGGGAGGGGAGGGATGGGCCGTGATTACCAAGGAGGAGCTCGCAGGTGTTTTGCACTAGACATTTTAGCTGAGAGGAATGACAAGTCATAGGAAGTCGGTTGATGATGGTGAAAGTGTGAATTGGGGGCAGAGTTGGAAAGACATGGTCTCTGTTGAGACATAAACCTGACCCACCTGTAGTGTCACATGGGTGTCTTGAAAGAGCCAGCAAAGAATGGCTTCAGGGTCTTCTTTAGGAGATAGAGTTTCTTTGAGTAGGATGTTTTCAAAAGAATACTTACAATATTAAAAATTAAAGAGAAAAGAAATTAATTATTGATTTTGGTCTGATTTTAGTTCAATGTTAAACATTTCCAGATTGTATCTCTTGTTTGCAAACATATTAACAGTATAAACATTTTGATTCAGATATGATAGGATTTGATAACTTCTGATTATCTCCAATACTGGATATTTTAGTAAATCCTGAATTTTTATGTCAGTGGCATTGTGCTTTGGCCTCTAGACCACTCTATAGTTGCTCTGCTGAAAACACACTTCGCTAACAGTGTAGATATCTGTGATGAGCCTTGTTCAGGAACAGACACATACTGGAAACTATTCATTTGAGTTTATCCAAATCATCTACGATGACCCTCGTCCCACACGAGGAGGCTCTGGAGTTTCTCACGCTGGTGTCATGCTTAGGAGTGAATGGACCAGAAGCTTCAGTAAAACTTACACAAATTATTTGTCCATGTTTTCATGAAGCCCAGATGACCGCGGTGGTTGCAGGGCCACAGAGTGGAAGGTCCCAGAGTGTGATGCCTCCATGCCTCCATGCACCTGGCACTCCTGCATCACAGGTGGTGTAGACTGGTTCCAGGCAGAGTTCTATGTCTACATCCTCCCTTCTGCTGCATCTTGAGGGCCTGTGGGGTTGTGAGCTGTTCTCTTTTTTCTTGAGCATGTAAATGAATCTCTGGTGATTTGATCTACCTTAAACTTACTAACACTCTAAGAATGCACACATTGAACACCATTCCATAGAGTGTCTAGGTAGAGCTTTTCTGGAGAATCATTTGAAAGTAGTTATCAGAATTTTACATGTGTGTTATTTGGGGGCTAATAATTCCCTGTTTAGGAACTTGTCCTGTACGAAGATGCCAGTGGGGGAACACATTGAAAATAGCCCTGTGGCCTGCCCAGCATGGTGGTGTGAGGAGCAGTGTGCATTGGAGCAGCAGGCAGAGTCTGCTTTTGTGAGGATGCAGGAGATCTTTGTGTATGTATGTGAGAAAATGTATGTGGTGATGTTTTAAAATTGAAGGGAAGAGGTGGATAGGTTGTGGCTTAGTGTGTATAGGGTGTTACCACATATGTAAAAATGTCTTTCTCCTTTATCAAGGGATCACTGAGCCTGCGGGTGTTTACTCCACACCTTGAGCAGCAGTTTATATCTGGAGTTGAGATTATGGGGAAAACTTTCCCTTTCTGCACGTCTGTTTTGTTGTCTTTTTTTTTAAAGATCTGCATTCTTCTAAGCACTTCTATTGTAGACCCCTTTTCCGATTGCCCTTGGACTTGAGGCGCTCAGCCATGACGGTCCCTGTGCTGGGCTATGTTACTGTCCAGGGTTCGCATCTCCTCACTGACTTCTGATTCTCACCGGCAAGTTTATTTGCCAAAGGAGTGGATTGCTGCAGGGCTTTCTTGCTCCTATATGCCTGGGACTGTAGGGGAGATGCTTTTACCCTTGACTTTACCTGAATGCTGGGATGCAAAAGCCCTGAGCAGGAGTCTCGTGAGTGTTTCACTTTGACATTTTGTCTGCTTTTGGTTGATGCTGCAAATCCAGTTCCATGTGTGCACTTTCTGCTGCAGTCTCCACACAGGGACCCTATTCCAGCTTCCTCTTGTGCCTTTGTGCCCTGCTGCCCTGAGTTTGGCTGTGTTGGGCTTTAGAACCGGTCTCTCGGCCCACCACGCCTCCCAGATCCCTGGCACACAGGGCAAGCTTGGAGCCTCCCTCCTGCCGTGGTTTTCTGACTCCTAGAGATGTTTTTTGCTTGATTTCAAACTTAGTCACATATACATTTTAAATATTTTAAAAATATTTTCTAGCATCTTTAAGCAATAATAAGGCCTGATGAGGGAGGATTTTTGCATGTGCTTAATCTACCACAGACCCTGAAGTTTGTATTGTTTCCATGATTAAAATGTGTGTGTGTGTGTGTGTGTACACACATTTCCATATCTATTCTGGGAAAAATAATTATTCTTGCTTCTCCATCTTAGAAAGTTGTATTTTGGGACTGTTATCCCCAGTTTCTCAAGATACTCAGAACCTTAATTCCAGAAAGAGCTTTTCTCTGCCACAGTTGCCTCCCACTCTTACAGATCACAGAGAAACCCAGAAGGTGCCCAGATCACTCTATGCCTTTTTATTAGGCAGCATTTAGTCTAGTTGAAAATAAAATAATCCAGTTAAAATATGGACCTGCAGAAGACGTCTACCAGTGCACTTCCTGAACACCTGTGCATGCCTTGGCATCCAGAGAGAAGGTGTACAGACTGGGCCACAGCTGTGGTTACTGTCCAATTGCAAAAACCATGTTCGCTTTGTGTCACAAGGAGGTGCAAGGCAAGAGATGCAGTAGGACAGCATTTTATCTCACAGGGGCCCAGAGGCTGCCCAAGTCCACAGCTTCCCTATCTTGTCACCCACATGGAGTGTGCACCTTGCTGCAGACAAGAGTCAAGTGAGGCTGAGTCTTTTGACAAAGAGGTCACAACTTCTTTTCACCAGTCTTACACCATTCTCATTGTAGGCTCAAGGCCAAGACACAGCCTGCAGCCCAGGTGTGGTTCCACATAGCAGTATGTTTCCAGGAAACAGCCCTATGGAAGATCAAGGCCTCCCTCAGACAGCCTAGCCCTGAGGTTCATCCACCCTTTACTCACAGAACAGTCAGGACAAGACTCCACACAGGTACAGCCTGACCTACTCTGGGGAGGATGGGTGAAATTCCATTGTGGAGCTCTAAGAATGAGGTACCCTTAGAAGTGTCTTGAGCCACTATGAATCAGGTGCCCCATACGTGTCCTGAGCCTAGGTGTGCCAGCAGAGGTGCTCAGCTGTGCTCAACGCCAGTCTTCTAGAGTCAGGGTGATGTGGGAATTGAAGCTGTAACCACAGGTTACAACCTGGATGGGATTTGATGCTGGGGTGAGTAGTATGGATTACTGCCTACCTACATTGTCCATGTGATAGCCACTAGTACACATGGCTATTTAAATGTATTACAGTTGAATCAAATGAAAAAAAAAGCATCTTGTTGGTCCTGTCAGTCACATTTCAAGTGCTGGATCACCACACATGTTCAGGGACTTCTGTTTTGGACAGTGTGGACATAGAGCATGACCATCAGGACAGGAAGTCCTGCTGGATGGTGCTGCTCTAATCATATAGGGGGAAGATGGAACCTGAAATTGTATCAGCATTCTCTCCAACTCTTGTCCTTGGGCTTGGGTGGAGACATGTGCTTCAGTCATTAAAAAAGAATGTTGAAATACTCAGGAGTCTGTTTTGAAACTGAGGTTTCCAATGCTTTGATGGTTGGAACTTGAATTTCCATGGCAACTCTGGCTATGGATTGAGATCAGCCCATCAGCTTGCAATACCCTGGCCATTTCCTATCTTGGGATTCTGGGAGTCATCCTCACAAGTGGCCTTAACATGACATGGGAAATTAGGAGCTCTTGGCTTCTAGGCTTGATGTTCTAGGTGCTCACAAGGAAACTTCACCTTGCTGTGTTTTTATGCCTGTCAAATAAAGGTTTCATATGGTTGATGGTCC